CGGCGTCATAGGCACTTTGAACTGCCTTCGTTGCTGCATCTGTTTTTCGTCATATTTGTGCTACTTCTTTAACTCTTTGTCGAAACCTTCAGACTTCAGTTTCTTTCCAGATGAGAAGTCGTTCACTTGTTTCACCTTACTATGAAGAGCTTCGAAGGCGTTCTTAAAGTCAGCATTTGTTAAAGCTTCATTTGAACTGTCTTCATCCGCTTGTATTTTTGTCCTTATTGACCCTATAAGTTGGGCTGCTTTAGCGTTGGCTTGGGCATCTAACCAGTCATTGTTAGCTTTTATATATTCTGCGCTTTTCATTGCCTTTTGCATGGCTGCGTCGTTATTTTTACTTTCTTGTGCTAAGTTTTCATACTGTACGGTTTGGTTTTGCAACTGTAAAAGTTTTTCTGCCTTTACATTTGCTTCAACTTCTTTTTTATACTCATCGCTATCCATATATGTCTTCAGGGCTTTTTGTTTTATCTCTTCATCTTTCAGTACTTTATATTGAGTAGTATGGTTTTTCAAATTTATAACATCTTGTTCCATTTTTGCTACTTCTGCTGCTTTTTCTGACACTTTTTTCGCATATTCCTCTGTACTTAGTTCTTTCAGTTGTTCTTCTTTCTTCTTTTTCTCTACGTTTAACTCATTGAGTTTCTTTGTGTGTCTGTCATATTCTAGTTTCTTTTCGTTTTCACTTATTTGCTTCTGTATGTCTATGTTTGACTTTTTGACATCTGTTATTTGATTTTTGAGTGAACTCAAATTCATTTGACTTTGAGGGTTATAGCTGTTCCGTCTGCAGCTCCACCATAGCCTGCCATTTTCGCTAAAAGTGCCGCTCTTAAACCTCCACTCTGTGCACCAACAACTCGGTTTAAAAGCATAGGATTGCTTGACATTTGTTGCAACATAGTGGGGTCATTCAGCATTTGTTGTTGCAACTGTTGTTGTGGTGTCAGTTTTACTATTGGATGTTTCAATGCTCTTCCTCTTACGTATATTCTTACGTAGCTTACGTGGCATTTTAAGTGAAGTTAAAAAGCGGTTTTTGACAGATGTTTATATGACACTTTTTGTTCAGCACAAAAAACTACTCGGTCAAAGTGTTGTCAGTTTTGTAAAATAACCGTCCTATCTCATTCTATAAGGGGAAAAGGCTTCTCAAAGTATACTTCCTTGGAACGCCTGTAACTTTTCCTGTAGCGACGATAGACCCTTACTTGTCCGGACAAAGTTATACTATTTTGAGTGCTCTACAAAAAAGTCAACGGCGACGACTCTCAAAAACCGTTGTGTAAAAAGTTTTACCGTTGGACAAAAAAGTATATATAGAAAACAAAAAACGTTTATAGTTCATTCAATAT